TTGCCAGAGGACTAGTCCAAGACGTCCTACTTGGTGACGGCAGTCACACAATTGGTTCATCTATCTGGGAGGAAAATATAAATAAGCTCAAAGTTTGAATAACATAGAAGCTACAAGGCTTATATACGCGTACCTACCAAGGTATAAGAAGCCTCACCTTTACACGAAACAGCTGTTACTATCTTAAAGAAGAGCACATCATCCCAATTTCTGCTGATGACGAGTAGCTGGATACATTATTTGGTGCAAAAATACTAGGAGTCCAGAACTTTTGCTAACATATCAAATGTATCAATTGTCACTATTTGAAACTAACTTCAATACCATTGTTAGGTGTTCCACTTGTAAGGTGATTCAATCCATCGAATCTAAACCCTATGAAGTGAGCACAAACATCATTGTCATGAGTGGAACTGAAAAGAAGATGCTAAAGCTTACAAGAGATTTGATCCTGAAGGTGCTTGACATTGATGATCCCACTGAATTCTCCAAAGAAATGATATGCAACTTACTGAGAACACCTACAATGGATATCGAGTACAACAAGAGTAACAGCTACGTTAAAGACATTACTTTCAATAAACTCTAAACAAAACACTATTCAGTTAACACTATTTAATCTTTTCTAATTGATTATTGGTATTATGTTATTAATCTTTTGTTAATCTTTTGCCTTTGCTATTAAGTACTATCAATTATTAATATCATTACTCACTTTTATAAATAAAAGTTTCTGCCTAAGAACCGATCCAAGAACAGTCTGGCATGTGTGTGGAGACATGTTCCACGACCAAATAATATTCCACTCCTATTCCAGGGCCCTACCCCATCCAGTGGATCCAAGCCCCAATCAGAATAAATACTTCATAGCCAGCTAGTAATATACTGATATGCCCTCTACCAAGAATAGATCTAATAATTATCTACTCTTGCCTCTACTCAGTCTACTGTACAATAAAGTTTGTAATTGGATTTGTACAAGTATACATGTATAATGAAATTGTTCACTGACTCATTTTTGTATATGTACATATATTGCCTTCTTTTACTTGCCGCATACATGTACATGTACATGTACTTTGTTTACTTTTCTTTCTCATTTATTAGTTGAGGTCGAAGGATCAAGTCTATACTCTCGGACTACATGATGTCAGATTAATTAATGGGTGTGGCTTGCACTGCCTGTTCCAGTGGCTTTCATAAGTATGGGGCCTCTCTTTATGTAAGTGAATGCATGAGCCTGTGATTGATTAAAAAGTACATGTACATATTGTACACGTGTATTTATTAACCCTTTAACACCGATAGACGTAATTGTACGTCACGTCAATAACATGAGGGGGTGTAGTACAATTGTTATTTTCTTTCTTATTCATGGAAATATAACATTCTAGTTGCTTAAATAGCTTTTCCTTTCATCTCTCTAACATATATAGCATTGTGAAAGACTAAAAACATAGTATATAGGTAGAAAAGTCCAATAGCGCTACCCAAACTGTTCAAAACGATCAGCGGCCGGGGTAAGTTACCTAGAAAATGATAAAACAACATAGGAAAGAATGTTTAGACTTACCTTTGGCTTGTGAAATCCTCTAGAAATGAGCAGAAAAGGCGAGCAACTCAAGAGAGCTGCTTTGCCTAACATTTCAATGGAGAAAAGCAGTAGGTGTGGCCACATTTTGCTTCGCAACCATGGCTCCTTGATGAATCACAGTAGCGTTTCTACTCGTAGCATCTTCTCCACTGACTTCTGTCTCTTCATTCTTTCATATCCTGCCTACTATGTCCTGCTTAACATGCTACAACTCTCTCTTTCCCTTTGCCAAGTCCGTGTAGTTAAGTAAAGTGGTGAGTATCTTTACAATAGACACTGCATTGTTTTATGCTGCTTCATTTTACTAAATACTTCTTCTATCTAAGGATGAACATCCCATAAAGGATGCTAGCAAGATTCAAGTCTCATAAGATAAGGCATCACTAAACTAGTACCACCAGAAAATTATTTTTATTCCAAAACTAATTTTGGTGTTAAAGGGTTAATGTGTGATAGTGAATGGCTGATGTAAACACGTACATTTACATGTAATTTACTGTGAACTTATGTACATGTACGCTAGGTGTTGTACATGTACATGTTCAATTCAGTTGCAGTCATCTTACAATATTTCATGTTTGTGGCACATGTACATACTGTACATGTGGATTTTTATTCTCATCACTATACTCCAATGCAACTCCATACAGTTAGTTTAGTTGGTTTTATACATGTAGATCTGCTAAAAATGATGCATTTACATGTACATGTAGGCCATCAATGAATCTATTTTCATTTTATCACCTTACATTGTTTATGCATGTACATGTACAACTAATGATTGAATGATTAAGTCATGCTGATAGGGATGTATATTCCTTGATAATACATGATCCATTTACGGACAATGCTTTATTGATACTTACACTGTACACTTGAACTGGAGTTGCATAGATACTGTATATACATGCAATTTCAGTGTCAGTTAGTCACTGTAACTACATATGTAGTGTACCATTGACAAACTAAAATAACTTCGCGCATACATGTACATGTATTTGCAAAAAATTGACGGTAATATACCGTATTTTACCGTATAAACGCCTGGTCTAAATACATGCCTGTCATTAATATTTTTCTGGCTATAGCTACACATATTTCTACCAAAAATAATGCCCCACTTTTAAGATGGATCGAAAGTGCTTAAAAGTTAGAGCCTGGTCTAACTTGCCTGGATTTGGCGATTCGCTTCCCGCTCACGGTTACTTTTTCATTATTTTTTTTAGTAATTCTTTTGCTGCTAAGAAATAAACACCCAGGTGTTTAATTGGTAAAATACTGTAACCATTTTGTCATAATTTTGAAAATCATAACTATGAAATTAGTCAATTATTGGTAAAGTAATAATACATTGTAAATGTGCATACATGTACACTCAAACAATGTTCAGACATTTTGTCTGAACATTGCTTAATTTGATTTGCCATTTTATGAACATACGGTAGGACAGGGTTTAATAGCCACAGGATTTATGGCATAGCCCTCGTGAAGCTTCTTGACAGTGGATTAATTCCCTGTCGAAAAGAATAGTACAAAACATTGTACATTGTACATGTACAATTTTATAAAATTTAATAAATTTGCTTCACATTAATTAATGCATGGTGCATGTATGTTTTATGTCATTATGAAAATTAAGAGCACTGTTTCATGTAACAAGTTGTGTACATGTACTTCTATTTATTGGCAAATTTTCATGAATGTA